GTCCCCGCGCTCCCAGGACCCCCCTGCGTCCCCCGACCCCGCGGGCTGGGAACTCTCTCCCCAGTCCCCGCGCTCCCGGGAACCCCTGCGCCCCCCGTCCCCGCGCTCTGGGGACCGCCTGTCCGCCCGACCCCGCAGGTTGGGAACTCCCTCCCCAGTCCCCGCATTGCCGGGACTGCCTCCCTGCGCTCTCCGACCTCGCGGGCTGGGGATCCCCCCCAGGCCCCGCGCTCCCGGGACTCCCCCCCCGCCTCCCGCACCCTCCTGCCCCGCCTCTGACCGTCTTTTGCCCGCAGCTTGGCCGCTACTCCGCCCTGTTCCTCGGCGTGGCCTATGGAGCCAAGCGCTACAGTGAGTGACCGCGCCGCTGTCTTGGCCCAAGGCAGGGGTGGCACTGGGTCTTCTCAGAGCCAGGGGGGCTCCCCAGAGCCATCTACTAAGCCCCAGCGAAGGGCAAGAAAGGGGGCAGGGTTGGGAGGCCCCAGCCCCAGAAACCCGAGTGAGTTTGACCCCTGAGCGGGGCGGTTGCTTTGGGATTAGCGCAGATGGTCAGGACCCAAAGTGCATTCTGATGCTGGGCACCCCCCGGGAGCTGGAAAACGGCTAGTTCTTGTTGAAAATTGGGGTGCCAAGTGGGTGTTGGAGGAGTGCTGCGGTCAGACGCGAGCAGCCTCTGGTGGCCTCGATTGCCGAGCAGAGAAGGGCGGTGAGGTGGTGGGGCATCTGGTGGGGCGTCTCGGGTGCTGGTAGGCGGGGCCCCTGCAGCTGCCCTCTGGGTTGGGCTCTTTGCTGAGCAGGGAAAGTCAGGCCTTAATCCACGGGGAAGGAAAAGAATGGAGAGCACATGCATCAGGCATTCACGTGCACTGAATTCCTTTTATGCAGCGTTTTGGTGAAGACACTGAAAGTACCTTCCCATCTTCATGCTTTCCTTACACAGGTTACCTGAAACCTCGGGCAGAAGAGGAGAGGAGGATAGCCGCTGAGGAGAAAAAGAAGCAGGATGAACGGAAACGGATTGAGAGAGAACTGGCAGAAGGTACTGGAGTTACTGCATCTTACGGCCTTGTCCTCTGCCCAGACTTGAGAAACATACAGGTGCTGCTTCAGGTGAACCCCACAGTGGGGGTTAGGAGCTGCCTCCTTTCTTCCAGCACTGGCCAGTGGGTCCTCTGCGGGAGGGAGAGATGCAGCAGGGCCGTGGATGTTGGGGGACACGGTGACACCTTGCCTTGGGCAAGGCCCACCAGGTCCCTAGGCCTTGGAGGTTAGTTGTCTGGGAATGTGCCACCCTCAGAGGGGCCCACAGGACTGGAACCAGGTACGCATCCCCCACTGAGTGCTGTGGCAGGCTGCAGTCAGTGTGCAGGGACAAGAGTTGAGGCAGAGCATGGTCGGGCTCTCCACTGTAGCTAGATCCTGGGTTGTTGAGCACTGAACATGTGAAGTAGTCCTTTTGGATTGCCTGAGCGTGTAATAACACGAGTGTTTTCCTTTGAACCTTTCAGCCCAAGACGACAGCATACTAAAGTGAGCCTGCCTTTCTCTGGAATGGTGTGGATGAATAAAGCTTTCTGTGTTTGATGCTCTCCTTTTTTGTCGCCAGTTGTCTGATTTCCGGACTCCAGCTCAGCAGTTGTGCTCTGTCCTCCATTTCTGTGGGGTGGGGATGGGGAGTGGGTTTCAGAAGAACTGGGCACCTATCACAGACCCAGAGGGCAGTGCACAGACGGGCCGGGAACACAGAAATTCTGTCACCTGTTCTCTGGGGTGTCTGACTGGGGACGCCCAAAGGGAGCAGTTTAAACCCCACACAGCCAGCTTGGGTATTGCGGCTGCTGCTTGGTCTTCAGTGAGCCCAGACCCTTGATGGGCCGTGCAAATGCCGGGGACCTGGATCTTCATCCCCCTGTCAGGAGCCCTCCCCTCGACCCTAAGGAAGGACCCCTAAGGAAGGACCGTGGGCTTTTGGGGATCAGGCTGGGGTGCTGCATAAAGCTCTGTAGTGGGCTTGGGCTCTTGCTGAGCTGACAGCCAGGTTCTGCCCCTCCTTGCTGTGCTCTTCCAGCCTCTGAGGCCTGGTGTTGGCATGTGCTCTTTCCTAGCCCCAGGCCTTGAGCAAATTTCCCTGAGCCCAAGTTTTGTTGATAAAGTGAATTCATTTGCAAATGTGAGGGGGCAGATGAGAAGCAGCGGATAAGCACTTTAAACCCTTGGTTTTAGTTCTGGTGAAGGTTGAGTGAGCCCAGCTCAGTTCCTTCCGGTTGGCTGGTGCGGAGTCCCTTGGGAGGATGGCCTGGCCCTAATCATGGACTGTCATCAGGTGTCCCCGCTGAGATGCGAACTGCCTCTTTCCTGTGACTGGACGGCTGTGGGGGGTGGCTCCCCCCTCCCCATTCTCCCCTCACCACCTGCCCAGGAGCTCAGGAGCTCTGGAGGCGGGCTTGAGTGGCATCTGAACTGGCCTTTCCGCAACCAGTCTAATCAGGCAGCTGAGGAGTTTGCTGTGGGGTTAAGTGCAGTGTCGGGAACAAACGATTTGGAGCTCACATTATCAGGACTTTAACAGTCCTTAACCTCCACCAGATACTTAGTACCCATTTCACGTGTGAGTCGTGCGTTTGGGTCTCGCTGTGCTGGTGCACAAACAAAGGGCACCCTCACTTGTACGGGACTTGGGCAGACCCCAGCCACGGCAGTGTGCTCCCCCGACTCCATGCAGAGGGCTGTTGCACGTGTTTTTGCGCAGGTCACTCCTGGCCTTGACCTTTTGGCAGAATTTTCTGATGGGTCCTACGTGATGTGCCCTCCACCATAATTTCTGCTGTATTAAAGAAAAGGGCAACTTGTTTTCTTTTTATTTTATTCTGAATTTCTGGTCATATTTCCTCCCAACCAGACAGCCAACAGCATCTTTGTATCTCATCGACCCGTATACACATAAATACATGTGCAGTTGGGGATCCCACCCAGAGCTTTCCGACTCGCAGTTCACAGACCCTTTCCAAACATCTCTGGTATTGCTGTGTACCCAAAAGATGGATGAGTGTGAAGTACGGTAAACTGTTTATTCATAGTTGACTTTAGTTTATAAAAACATAAATCTTAAAAAAATTTCAAAATACCCAAAATTGTCTTCAGTCATTTTCTTGGGCTTCTTAACCTGTAGCAAGCAGAGGTGGAGTCCCAGCGGGTGAATGGACTGGGGCGCCATCAGAACACACAGCGGCTCACAGGATGCAGCAGGTCGAAGACTTGGGTGGGGGGCCGCCGTTGCAAATCTCCGTGCCCGCTGCAAGAGAAACAAGATGGTGAGAGGACTGTGCACTGGCCTCGCGCCTTCTGCCCAGTGTCCTCAGCCAGCCCCGTGGGAGGAAGGGCAGAGTGTGGGACCTGCGGTCAGCCTAAGCCGATTAGCCTAGCCAGGGCTCAGCCTTTCTTATCTTGTTCTTGTGACACTTTCAGTTCTGGCCCCCTCAAGCCCAGAACCGTCCGGACATCGGTTTCCTCCCCACAGCAGGAAATAGCAACAAAAGTCCCAGGGCTGAAGTGGCCATGCACGGGCAAATACCATGGCAACAACATCAGGGATTCCATCTGGGGGGTGTGCCGGCCCCTCACGATGAGGCCACGTGAGCCACATTCCCACAAGGGGACGCAGTGGTGGGGGGTGAGCAGGTAAACAAAGGCTCTGACACAGTACAGGGAAAGATGTCATGTACGCTTGACTCAGCTCACTTAATTTCTTTTTTTAGGTCTTCTGTTTTTGTTAAGATTTTATTCATTTATTTGAGAGAGCGTGCGCGTGTGCACGAGAAGGGGGAGGGCCCGAGGGAGAAGCAGGCTCCCTGCTGAGCGCAGAGCCCACCGTGGAGCTCGACCCAGGACCCCGAGATCATGACCTGAACCGGAGTCAGATGGGTGCCCTTAGGTCTTCTGTTTGGTTTCTGAGGGTAGATGGAAGTGGAGATTTTCCTAAGTTATTTAGGAGAAAACTGCTGCTTGGTGGTGGAAGAAAGCTGCTGAGAGTTTCCGATGTTTCCTCCCTTTATCAAGGAAGTAACATTCAAATAGCTACTTGGTTAGAGAAAATGAGAGTCTCTGGCGAGGAACAAGGAGATCCCGCAGTCCGGGTTGTTGACTGCACTGCGCCCACAGGCCCGATGCCTCTGCAGGGAGGAACCCAGCTCACCAGCCCCAGCACCTCGGCCACCGGCCTGTCCGCCAGAGTCAGCTCTTGCTTAACCTCCGTCCCTTCGCACACTTCCATGTGGGGACTAACCATGTGCCCGCCCCGCTGCCCACACCTTTCTTGGCTGTTGTCTTGTCCTCCTGTTGCTGCTTCTGCTCCTCCAGGGCCTTGACTTTGGCCTCATACTCGTCAGCCAGGGCCTTCCACTCCTTTCTGTTGTTCTGCAGTCGGTCGAACATGGGCAGGATCTCTTCATGGAAACGGGAGAACTCCTGGACCGGGAAGACAGGGAATCAAGAAGTCGGGCCACACTCCTGACTGTTCCTAGGCAGCTGGGGCAGGTGGCCTCCCCACATCTTGGCCCTTGCTGGCACCAGCCTGTCCCCCCACACCCTGCCCCACTCACCCAAGAGGAGAACCTGGGAGGGGGCCTGTCTGAGGGAGAAGGGAAGGCCACTGAGATGTTACTTTCCCAGCAAAGCCCAGGAGACAGAGAAGAGAGGATGGGGAGGGCACAGACGGTCTTAGTGGGGTAAGGACCCCAAGAATGGAGTAGAAAATATCAATGGCAGAAGGGGAGTCCCTTGGCAGAAGGGGTGGGAAGTCTCAGGCAGACATGCCGGTCTTGCAGCCCCTTCTCTGGTCTCTTCTACGTACATCACACATACATGCACACACAAACACACACATGAGCCATGGAGTGTGTGGGTGGACTTGGGGAAGGCAGTGAGAGGGGAGCGATGTGGTGGGGCTGTGACCTGTGAGCTTCAGGACTGGGATGTCCATCCTGGTCCCGCCTTCCTTCTCAGCACTTACAGCCCCACTGAGGGGGCAGCAAAGGGAGCTGGGATTTCAGTAAGGGGAAGCCCAGGTGCTGTGGTGGTCAAGGTGGGGAGTGGGACTGGTCCAGTCAGGGGTAACTTTACTCAGAAGCAGACAACCTCCTCATCACAGCCCCCAGGACCAGATGGAGTGGAGCCCATGGGCATGTTGGGCATCACTTGGGAGGGGCTCTGCAGTCAGACCCCCCGACACACTCCCTGAACAGTCCTCTGGGCTGTGAAGTCACAGTGCGTGTGTCCTCGGCACAATGTTCCCTGGTCACTCATGTGCAACATGTGTTTGCTGGGTGAGGCATTCCCAGCTGTGACAGGTGGACCCCTCCCTGTCCTCCTGGGTTCACAGGCATTGAACAAATGCACCTGCAGATAAGCTGCAGGCCATGAGTGGGGGTGCCCTAGATGGGGTTTGGGGAAGGGACATGTGAGGTGAGACCTCATGGTGAGTGGGAGGACCTCCCAGAGGGTGGAGACCTGTGGGAAAGCATGAAGAGCTTCTGAGGAACTGGTTAGGGGAAAGTGGGAAGGGACTCCTTGGGGTGACACTGAGGATTTCAGATTTTAAGTGCAAGGATGAGGAGATGGGGGCTGTGGCAGGCCAGGCCATTGGGTGAACCCACACCAGCAACCCCCTTCCTCCTGTGAGCCTAGCCAGGCCCCGCACCACCCTGCTCACCTTGTACACGAATGTGCACACGAAGTCGATGAAGCCAACTTGTAGTTTGGGGAGCTCAGCTGCCTTGTTCCGGTCCATCATTGGCTTGTGGGGGGAGCAGAGATACCTCCTCTGAGCCCGCAGGATTCACTCAGCCCCACCCAGCTCAGATGAACTTGTCCACAGAGACACAGATGAAGCAGTGTCCATGGGATGAAGGTGGAGCCTCTGGTCTTGGGGCTTAGCCTGCCTTGATAGATGCTGGCCCTTGAAAGGGGACAGCCAGGATGCCCCTCCCCGCTCTGAGCCATCTGGTAGTTCCAGGGCTGAGTCCACCATGATGCTCCCCAGTTGCAGGTCCCCTGAGCGCCTTCCTCCTGCTTCCTTGGGAACTATCCATGGTGCTAACTCAAGACTTGGCTTGAGAGCCCTGTGGGGGCAAACTCCAGATGCCCTTGGAGGGACTATCCTTGGTGTCCACATACTCCAGACCCCCTGAGCTGTTCCTTGCAGGTTTATCCTTCATAGCTACCCACTGTCTGGAGCTCCACGTAGCAACGGTGAGCCATGCAGGAACTAGAGGCCTGCCCTGTCCCCAAGGGACTTGGCTGGTTGGTCAGGACACCCTTTCCTGCAGGCTGTCCCTGGCCCCAAAGCCTTCTCCACCCTGTGATCAGGCAGCTATCCACTGACTGGAGTTGACTTGTAAAACAAGCCCTCTTTCCATCTCTTCCACCTGCTGTTGGACAATGCTATGCTGTCCTCGTCCCCTTGGATCCTATGCAAGTGCCATTGTGGTCTAGCAGCATGTTCCTGGCCCCACATTGCTGGCCTGAAAATCTCAGCATCTTCCATCTATCACGGTGTGGGCCCTGGACTCCAGCAGCTGGCCTTCTCTGGCACCGTACTCTCCCCACTTGAGGGCCTTCCTGGAGCATCTTGCAGCCTGGCTGAGGTTCACTGTGGAGCTGCCTGGGCCATGGAGGCCCCAGGTGATGGGCCACAGCCTGCCTCGGCCACTTTTGACAATGACTTTCCATTTCTGTATGAGCCTCACAGCTTTATCCAAACCCTGTTTTTTTCTACAACTTTACCCAGATCCCAAGCTACCTAAATTTACGCTCAGCTCATGTCACATGACCGATCCCACAAAGTGAGACTGAGGTCCTGGGACCCCCAAATCCCCAGGGGTCCTCTGTTTGTACCAAGAGAAGCCAGAGGTTCCCAAGGACCACAGTAGGGGTAGAAGATTCTGGAAGTAACACTCACAATGGGCTGCTGATCCAGAACTGTCCTTTCCAAGTCACCTTGTTCCCAGAACTCAGCTGCCACCAGCAAAGCAACCTGGGTGGGGGGTGGACATAAAAGGCAGTCATCCTGTGGAGTTCATCACTTGGTCAGAAGTTGACAAAGGAGGCTCCTGCCAGGAGCCTCTGTGCCCTCAGTCTCTGCCCCAGACCCTCTGGGACCCCTACTCTTCAGGCTGGGCCTGATGCACAGTGAGCACATTGGTGCTTTCCAATGTGGCGGCCACGAGCCCAGCCCCAGAGCAGGGGGCAGCTCTCAGTACTACTTGCAAATGAAGGTTCTGTCCCCCCTTCTCAGGCTTCCCCTAGATGCAATCTCAAGAGGCAATGACAAGAGGTGAGGGCTCTGCATGACTTCTGACCTTGCTCTGGACTTCCCAGGGCTTGGTGATGGCGGACAGGTCACACGCAGTCATCATCATGGCCCTGCAGGCAGATGAAGCTCCAGGTGTGCCCAGGCTGGCCTCCCTCCCTCCCCTCCACCTCCACCTCTGGGCACCTCTTCCAGTAGTAGACCTCTCACTTTACACACCCACTCCAACCCACCCCTCATACATGACCTCCCTCTCCCCCTTGCCGCCACAAACTAAAACCAAGTCTTTATTGGGCAGCTCCAAGTGCCCGTGATTTACACATTTTTTCTTGTTGGACCTCTGGGACAGGCCTGGAGGAGGACCGTAGTTCTGAATCTCCATTTTGGAGATGTATCAGTGAAGGTTCATGAATAAGTAAATTATTGCCAAATCCACAAACTAAGGAAATGGACTCTCTGACCCCAAATCCTGTACTGTCTCCCCTGAAAATGAGGAGCAAGTAAGATGGAGCATTTATTTTGACGATTTATCAAAGCCATTTAGAGATGAGCTGCTCTTGTTGTGGCTCATTCGGGGGCCTGGGGTCTCCTCGTTTGGGGAGGGGGTTTGAGGATTAACCAGCACGGAGATGGTTCCTGCCGCCCCCACCCCCATCATAGCTCACATGACTATCTCCTTCCGCGTTGTCTCCAGGGACAGGTACTCCACCCAGCTCTTCTTGTCCTCATAGTTCTTAGACTCATCCACAATCTTCTGGAACATTGTCCTCTTCCTGAACCCCAAGAACAAAGAGAGAGAGTCGGCCCCCACCCTCTAACCCCATGCAGGACACCCCCTCCTCCTTGATCCTAACCCCACCCACCCTTCTAGGAGAGAAACCGAGGCAAAGAGCTCAGGCCCTGCGGGGCCGCTGGGCTGGCAAGGGTCTTCTAGGAGCCCCAGGTCCCTCCCCACCCCCCAGCCAGGCTGCTGTCTTGCCTCCCCCCCGGGCGGCCACCCACTTGAAGTAGAGCGCCAGGTCCGTGGCAATGATGGCTATGTCCATGAGATGGATCACATGCTCGTGCTGTCGCCGGTTCAGGTTCTGGTAGATGTTCAGGGACTGCGGGAAGGGTTAGGTTCCCAGTCTGTCCCTGCCCCCTCCCAGGATCTGTCTGTCTGACCCTGGCATGTCGCTGGCCTGCTCCTACCGGCAGGTGACAGGTCGTGGGTACCGGACCCAGCTGGCCTTGCACGCCCTCCCCACCACTGCCTGACCCCTGAGGCCACCCCACCCCGCGGTGGGTGCATTTCCAAGTTCAAATCCAACCCATCGCCGCTGACCCTCCTCCAGCCCCCGCGGGGCCTGGCTCACGGGTCACCACGCCCTGTGAGGTGCAGGCGATGGTCAGTCAGAAATACGGAGAAATACCCTGAGTGAGGAGTGGGACACAAACCTCCTCGGAGAGCAGGAACTTCCCGAACTCCAGGTGGTGCCGTTCCAAAATCGAGGAACCGTGGAGCTTGGCTAAGGGATTCTGGGATCTGTTACGGGGGTTGTATTAAAATCACAGTTTGGCCAGAAGCCCCCAGAGAGGCTGGTTGTGGCTTCGGGGCCCCCGAACTTCCCTCCTCGCCAGGTAAGGGGCACCCCCCAGGGAGCTCTACGCAGGCCCCTCCCTGGGCCGCTGTCACAAAGTCTCCCTCAGAGCGACCCGGGCACCCAGCTGTGCTGCCTACTTCATCTGGTACAGATTGTTGGTGCCACGGTGGTCGATGTCGTGGCACAGGCCGGCGGTCACCATGGCGAAGGCCTCCAGGTCCGTGTAGTAGCTCTTCAGCTTGCCCGTCTGAGGACGTGGGCACCCACAGCTGTGCGGTGCCGCTAACACCTCCCCCTCCCTCCCTTCCCTGCTCCACGGGGTGCGGGCAAGCAGGGTGGGGGAGGGATCCGGGCCTCGCCCAGGTGCCCTCCGTTACTGCCGGGGCTGGGGGTGTGCCGGTCCCAGGGGGAGGCACCCCCTCTACTCCTCTGCCCTTGAAGGCCCCCACCTCCCGCGCAGAGGCCCCCCCAAGGGCCAGGAGGGTCTTCACAAGCCTGACCAGGTGGCGGGTGGGGGGCTGGTTAGGGCGGCATCTGCCACGCCCCTGCTGCGGCACGCACCATGAGTAGCGTGAACATGGTCTGGGCCACATTGAAGCCATGACGCCAGTTGTGGTAGGTGATTCTCCGGTACCCTTTGCTCACGGAAAACAGAAACCGCACCAGGACCTGAGGGGAGTCAGGAGAAACACGGGCTCTGAGCGCCAAACATGCTAGTAGCTTGGTGTGAAGGCCTGCTCGCTCCCGTACGCGAGGCCCCCGTGACCCTTCCTGTCCCGGCGAGTCACTGCTGGCCCCTGACCGCCCTCCTGGGTGGGAGGTACCTTGCTTGACACCTGCGGGGTGGACGAGGGGCGGCCTGAGGGGGCCAGGGTCAAAGCTAAGAACAACTCCAGCATTCATGGGGCCTCCAACCTATTGCCCAGCCCAGAATTGGGAGGACCCCAGGCAAGGGGCATGGGATGTTCTAGAAGAAAAGGTCTGTTTTAGGCAAGGGTGTTTGAATGGGGCACAATGTGTGGGCACTTGGCATGGACGATGGAGAAATAAAATGTTGGCTAAGGGTCCAGAGATCAAGGGGCAGGCCCAGGGATGTGAGCCTTTTCCAGCAGGGCAGTCTCTCTGGACAACAGATGTGGGCCAAAGGAGTGTCTTACTGCTTCCACTGTGATTTTTAGTGTCAGAAAATGATTCCGAAATTTTAAAAAATTCTACTAATCATTTGTCTACTTTTTTCTTTTGTGTTTTCCTTTAGTATTTAGCAAAATTTCTTTTGAAAATGCCAGCATGCTGCGCCTGTTCTCAGGGGGGCATGAGGAAGCATGGTTTCCTCCTTGCATGGTGGGGAAGCAGACGCTCCCTGAGGGGTGAGGGTGAAGACCGCACAACAGCCAAGGAACTATGGGAACGCAGCAGGGCTCAGGGCAGCGCTGGAAGGACCACCCTCCTCCCTGGGACGACCTCTGCGGGGCTCTCTGCATTCAAACCAAGAGGATGCCCTTTGCTTTCTGCACAGCTCATGGGCTCCTATATCCTCTCCACCCCACGCCAAAACCCCACTAGGGCCCAATGATGCACTTGATCGACTTGTCTGGAACAACCATTTACCAAACGTTCTATCCATCATTCTACCCATCGATACATTCATTTAGTCATTTATTCTAAGCACAGTTGCTGTGTGTATTCTGTAATGAACATGGCTGTCCCCAAACTTTCTGTAGGACCTAGGACCTCGGACCACATCTCTCCCACCTCTTGGGGGATTTGGGATCCCCCCAACCATGTCCGAATTCTACCTCCCAGTGGATCTGGGACCCTTCACCATGGTCCCTCCCCCCCTGGTGGATCTGGGACCCTTCACCACAGCCCCCCACCCCCTGGTGGATCTGGGACCCTTCACCACAGCCCCCCACCCCCTAGTGGATCTGGGACCCTTCACCACGGCCCCCCACCTCTCAGTGGATCTGAGACCCTTCACCACGGCCCCCCACCTTCCAGTGGATCTGGGACCCTTCACCACAGCCCCCCACCTCTCAGT